TTTTTTTTGGATTTCCAGAAGTTCAATTCTGGTTTTGAGAGATTCATTTGGTTTTCGGAAAGTCATTTTGGGCTTGCGGAAACTCACTTGTTTTTGGAAAGCCATTTAATTCTCAGAAAACTCGTACAAAGCATCAAGTGGGCCATTATGTCCACTAGGGAGACTGAATGCAGTTTTCGGAAACGAGATGGGTTTCCCTAATATGCTCACTAGGGAAATGGAATGTAGTTTCTGGAAATCGATGTGTTGTCCAGAAACCTATTGAGTTTCCTGGAAACTAATATAACGCATCGTATGGATATATACTCTTGACCCAATCCTAATTTAGACTTCAACTTCATTTCTATATTATTTTTCTAATCAGAAGAGTTTTCTATGATTATCCTTAAAAGCATTCGATTAAATTTCCATGGAATTTCTCCTATAGTCACTTTATCTGAGTTTCCTAGAAATAGGAATTTACCATCGCATGATATTAATCAAACTGACTTTTCTTACTTTCAATAATTGAACAATTATGTAATATAAAATTTTAAACTTTCTTTTTTTAATGCAATTTATCAATGACAATCCTTATTTGTATTTGTTATGAAATTTTTAAAAACAGAAAGATCCTTACGCAGATAGTTTCACAATATACATGTATTTAATAAATAAGATACAATAAAACGAATTATACTTTAGTAAAGACAATGATTAAATCATAATCGTAATGATGATAACAGCGTCTTTTGTTTGTGGTAAATAATAATTTCACAAGACACGGTTAAACCGTATAGTTTATTAAAGCATTGTACAATGTTAAAAACCTTAAAAGTATCATTAAATGTATATAATTGATTTAGTAAGCTATAGTTCAGTTAGTTATAATACAGTATTGACTTCAACTATTTATCGTGGAGCAATACGATTCATTTGATGACGATTAAGTCTTCCTTGCCAATGCTTACGATGAATATTAATAAGAACATAAACTAATTGTCGACGAAAACGTGGTGATACACAACAATAAATATAAAATGGAATCTAAATAGACAATGTTATTTTTCGTTATTTAAGTAATTATTTTTTTTTTCATTTAAGTTAATTTACCGAAAAATTTCCATAAAAAATAATACGTGTTATTGAAATAATCAGCTGCTTTTGTGTAATACTAATTGAATCAGAAAATGTTACAGCATTAGAATACCAATAATTGTAAATACTATAAGGTAATGTAACAATAACATCAAAACCAACTTCAACTAATACCTTAAAAGAAAAACAAAAGTAGAAAA